AAGATGGTGGTGCTGCTCATTATCATCACCCCAGGAGGGTCATTGTGGCAGTCACCTTGAAGCTTTGTGTTCATGTGGGAAGCTTTGTGTTCAAGGTTAATCTGTAACTTCAATTTTACAATTATGGGAAGTAAGCCTTGGGAAAGGGTTTTGTGAATATCTGTTCCCCTCTTATCTCAGTTTATCTTATCAGGGTAGTTACCAGGGCCATGGTGTAATGATGTGCCCTGTGGTCTCATGACTGAGGAGTGGAAATGTAACCAAATGTCCTCTGCATGGAAAATGGGTCAGTTTGGTTCACAGGCCTAGCCCTATCCTGACTCACCAGGATCCGCACACTTGTTAGTGCACTGTGGAAAGAATGCATGGGCATTGTTTTGAAGGTGTTAGGAACTTTGACCTCTTGATTTTAGTGCATATCTCAGACTGGTACACTCTGTCTCTCATCACTAAGACATCCTTAGGATGCACACAGATCCTTGCCTGTTGAATCCATTTGGTGAAGAAACTGTGATAAAGCTGTTGTCATGTCTCAACTTTTCTTTCCATTAAAAAATGGGGCCAGAAACAGTACGAAAACCACAGCTCATTGCCAATGTGAGAGCAGTGGACAGGGGAGGGGCTTTGATTTATTGTGAAGACTTTAGAGTTCGTATTTGCTCGAATAACAAATATGTATCCAGAATAGTGCCGGATGCTACAGGAGTTACAGAAATTTACAAGACAAGGCCCCTACTCTCAAAGAGTTCACGGATCTGTGCAAGTACAAGGCATGCAGAAGGCCCAGTGCCCAGGAATTCCAAGACCACTGCCTGGGTGCTTGGGGAAGCCTTCCTGAAGAAGCTGGCATTTGTGCTGGAATTAAATCTGAATAGCAGGAGATAGCCAGAGGCGGGTGGGGAGTGAGAGAGGGACGCTAAGTTGCCAGGAGGTTGGACCAGGAGGAAGGGATTATTTGGGGAAACTGCAGGCAGATAGCAGGCTTGAGCTCACTTGTCCAGTCCCAGCTCAAGCCATACGTAGCCAATGCAGGGTAGACTGAGAGTCTCACGTCTCTGCACCCTCCCCTACCTAGCCTTCCTCTGTTAGGTTCCACAAGAAACTAAATACGGTGAAAACTGTACACTGCAGCCATTTGGGTTGGCTGGAGTTTTCCTGCTAGTCTGAAAGGAGCCATAACCCTCCGTCATCAAACAAGGAGTAGCGCGTTGACACGTGGCGGACAGTCACTATTATCCGCGTCTGGCTGCATCTCGGCAGAGCCTCACTTGGATGCTGCCTGTAGCCACCCAATGTCCAGACGCCAGGCCTCACAAAAGCATTAACTGTTGCTACTAATTTCTGAAGTTGTAATAGTGCGCCACCGGGCCGGCCCTGCAGAAGAATCTTTGTTCATGCCACCCACAGGTTTTCACAGGTATATTTTGCATAGAACTAGCGACTGACCAGATCTGAGTCACAGGCCGAGCCTGAAGGAGTTCTAAGGTAAGGCCTCTCCACTTTTATTCCTGGAATTTCCTGGAATGCAAGGGTTATTTCAGTGCTAGCCACATGGCCACTGTTAACAGGCTGTTCACCATTTACTTCAGGTTGGGCAGGGGGCGGGGGTGGTCACCTGTGCAGAACTGCCTGCCTCTCAGGGCAGGTGTGGAGAGGAGGGGTCGTTTAGCCCATGGTGAGGGGCTGTAGGTAGGAGGTAGAGGTTAGGTGCTTCTACACTGACACTTTAAAACAAGCATCCCCAAGTTGGTAATTAACAATATTTTTGTTATTGCTTCCTTCCAAGTTAAAAGAAACACACCCCACCCTGCACCCTGACTGCACCCACATGGGGTTTCCTTTACAGCAGAGCCAATGGCCTGCTATGCGCCCCTATTAGAAGCACAGCAAGATGTGAAGATAAATGTTTCCATCTGGGGAAGATGCGTCTCCATTACAAGCCCATTATGACAGGCTCAGAATTAAAGCCTCCACAGTGAATGGCTTTTATCTGGCCTCCGAGAAAACGTGGTGGTGAGATACATCCAGATTCTCTGAATGTTTGGGGCTGCACTGGCACAGTCCAGGTGTCTCAGTTGGGGAAGGAGCCTGGCAGTGCCCCAGCACGGGAACTCCGGTTACCAGGGCACAGTGTATGTTGCGCTGGGCCACAGACCCTTCAAACCCATTCTGTGCAGACTGGGTCACAGACCCTTCATATGCAGGCTGAGTCACAGTCCCCTCAAATGCAGGTCGCACGCTAGGTAATTGGAAAAAGATCCTGGGAGCCATTGGCAAGGTTGACATACTTTATTCAGACAGGGACACAAGCTCAGCCCCCAGCCTCAGAGCCATTGTCTTTTATACCAGAGTCAGACAGCCAAGGAACACATGGGCGCACATGCACAGTTAACGTATTTACAACAGACATGCTGAGTTATGCTCAGCTGGATGTGAGGTGAGGGAGCCTGACCAGTCTGTCTCCATTTTCCTCACAGTGTGGTATTATTAACTACAGCCCCCATGCTGGTCATTAGATCTCTAGGCCCCTTCTCCCTGCATAACTGCAACTTTGTGTCCTTTGGCTTCTGCGAGTGAGGTCCTCCAGTTTCATCCACATTCTCGCTAATGGCAGGATTTCCTTCCTTTTTAAGGCTGAATAATATCCCACAGTGTATATGTATAAACAGCCTGCATTTTCTTTATCCGTTCATCTGGACACTCAGCATACCCTTGACCATGGAAGGGCCTCCTCTTCTGGCCTTCCTGAGCACACAGCTGCACTGGGGAGCACTCACGGCAGTGTGGAGGAGTGGTCCCCCCAGGCAGCCAGATGAGTCGGTCGGCCCTGGAGGCCACTGGGGTCCCCTTCCATGTGTTCTTGTAAGAACAGAGTGGGAGGAAATGGCACAGACAAGGCCTCTGGGGAGGGAAGAGCCCTCACCGCTGCATCCTGGACCTCCCAGGGCCAGCTCTCCCTCCCCTTTCCTTTCCTGCCACCTGTTTACCTCCCAGGCATATTCCCATTACACCCTGGAGGCAGTGGACTTGAAAAGAGCTCCCTTTGAAGAATTGGAAGTGCGTGGGGTTATGTGCTCCATGCCCGGGGATGCCCTGAGCAGCAGAAAGCTCCTGCCTCAAAGTCGGAGCTCAAATCCTGACTCTGCCGGTGTCCACCCATGGGGACCTCACAGTAGCCACCTGAAAGCCGCCACTTTTTGAGCATGCCCTGGGCCTGGCTGCACCGCGCCGTGTCGCATGGCAGACAGGCTGCCACTGCAGGCCACTTCCCAGGCCCCCTTGTCAGTTGGCTCCCCGCTGGCACTGTCCAAAGGAGCATGGAGGGCGGGCAGGCATCGGCACCAGGTGCTTTTCCTTCACTCTCTCCAACAGTGTCTGGCTTCCCTCAGGCTCCAGTCCCCACACAGACCTCTGTGGTTCCAACTTCTCCTGGGGACCTCAGCAACGAGAACCCCTGCGTCCTGCCAGCCGGGTGGTGGTGGCTCCCTGCGCTTGCTAATCTCAGGGTGCCCCGCTGGCTTCTCCACTGTTCCGTCACTCATGGGAGCCGTCACCTCATTACGTTCCCTCTTTAGATACTCGGGTCCTGGTTGTCCCCAACTGAGTGCTTACGATCTGCAGGCTGTGAACTAAGCCCTTAGCGGCACTGCTCAGCAGAGCCCTCAGAGACCCCCGTTTCACAGACGAGGACCCTGAAGCTCAGGCAGAATTCTGCGCGCAGCCTACCTGGCGCAAGCCTGGCCTCCTACTCACCCCACTAGTTGCTTCTCTGAGTTTCCGTTTCCACATCTGGAAGGAGCCCAGAGATCTCCACTGCAGCGCTGTTTGCAGGGTTAGAGGAGCGTCTGTGAAGTGCCTCTCACCCTCCACCGCCGCCCTCAGGTGGGCACGCGGAGGGGCACCGGCGGCAGCAGCAGCGAGCGTCCCGCTGCCTTCCTGCAGCCCGTGGGCGGCCGTTGGAGCCTGCGCTTCCACGCTGGTCAGGGGGTTTGCTTTGCCCCAGGAAGGGGCTAGAAGTTGTCTCTTTTGTTTTCCTTTGGTTTTGTCAGAGTTCTTAGTGTTTTCCACAGGTGTGCGTTTAAAGCTGGCCCTGGAAGGTTTGTGGTTTGATTGTCTCTTGAAGAATGTTTAAGTGATGGTGCTGTTTGTTTCTGAGTCCTGCTCCAGGAGAGAGCTCTTTGTGGCCTGAGACGAACAAGCACCAGTTTCACCAAAGCCATCTTTCTGGTCACCGTCTTTCTGGTTGCATTCCTACCATGTAAGCCAGAGTGCAGTCTCAGGACAGGAGACTGAAAACAACTCTTTTCTTCTCCTAACATCATGGAATATTGGAGTCAGAAAACCCTAAAACATCATCCAGGACAGAATGAGCTTCCACTTTACAGAGGAGAAAATCAAGGTTTAAAGAGGTTAAGTGACCTGCGTAGGTCCCACAGTGTCCTGGTGGTCCAACCAGGCCCAGCACCGAGGTCCTAGCTCTCGTTTCCTGCCGGCCAGGTTGTGCGTGTGAGCGGGAGGCCATGGCCTGGTCTGCAAGCGGAGCTAGAAGAACTGCCCCATGTGTCACCCGTCACACAACAGCAGGGCATTGGGGGATCAGGTGAAGGGCACTGCCCTGTGATTGGAACAGTCCCAAGTTACTGCTGTGGTCACAGAAACAGGCTTGGGATCGCTGTGCCTTTCGGTAAAGATTTTGTCCATACATATCTTAATTTTATTTACTAGGTTGTCTGGCACATAATAGCATGCATTATTAATAGAGTAGGTTAATGGCATCTCTTCACACTGTAAAAGAGCCTCTGTGATAGTGGCACGTGCTCTGAATATTATAACAGGCTTCTATTTGACCTTACATGAAAATACAAAAGAAGGGACCATCTCTGGTACAACTCAGTAGTGCAGTGATTGACTTATAAGCACATCCTAGAGCAGTCCATGTCTTACGGCTTCAGACAGCACATGCATGTGGTTCTGAAACTCTTATTCTCCCCACTGCCCAAGTCTGTCCTCTACCTCCAATGGTGAGTCACGGTGATTTCATCTGCCACCCGCGGCCTTGCGAGCGCTACAACCATGGAACTGTGGTGGAGTTTTACTGCGATCCCGGCTACAGCCTCACCAGTGACTACAAGTACATCACCTGCCAGTACGGAGAGTGGTTTCCTTCCTACCAAGTCTACTGCATCAAATCAGGTAAGATCAAAGGCCTTCCTTGGAGGAGGCTGACCCTCCATGGATAGTCCGTACCCAGCGGTTGGTGGTTATGTCCTGAGATGCATTTTTTCTCCCACGCCCCGTGTCAGGAACAGGACATAGAAACATGTCATTGTGGGTGCATGGGGCTGATGTTGGCCTCTGTGCCAGATGATTCTAGGCCCTGTTCAGAGGGTCAGAAGTAGTAACCTGCCCATTCCCAGGTTAAAGTGCTGACTCTCTGAACAGGGTCCCTAGATCCCTAGCAATCCTGGCAGGACCACCAGCGTCTGTGCACTGTTTTCTCCCAGCTTTGTCCCCTTCCACTGGCAAGGACACAGCCCATGGGTCGGACCAGAATTATGCACATTGCCCTGGGACCAAAGGCATGCACTGCTCCACCTCTCTCTTCCACTCAGGATGCATATCAGAATACAGATGATGGCATCGCAGGTGACACCTGATTTCGCTAATAAAAAGTAGGTTATTTGCAAGCTTCAGCGCTTCATCGTTAATAACAAATCACTTGCAAACTGGCTTCACCATGGGTTTTGGCATGCCAGGGTAGCAGCCACACGACAGGGGCCTGAGAACCAGCATGCACCCTTGTCTCCTGCCCCCCCCCCCGTCTGCCCACTCTCTCCGGCTGCACCAGCACTGGTGATGGCCCCTACTTCTCCCTGGACATGGTGCATGAGGGAAGCACTTCCCACAGCTGGCCTCTGCAGGCACAAGACACCATGTGAGCTGGTGGGGGACGTGCAGAGAAGCACCTCAGAGAGAGGCTGCACCACTGCAGGGAGATGCTTAGGGGCAGCTGGCCTGTGCCAGAAAGGTAGAATTCTATTCTGGGAGGCTCCACTCTTGCTGCCCTTTCCTGGCAGAGCCTGATGCCAGAGGTGGTGGGGGCCCTGGAGCAGTCCTGTCCTCTTCCTGCCCCACTCCTTGCTGCAGCATTCTTCACCCAACCACAGCATCTCCCAGAATACTAGCAAAAGGCCTAGCCTGGCCTCTCACTCCCCCGGCCTGTGGTCGGCTTCCAAACAACTTCTCAGGAAGAGAGACACCCCTGGCCTCCATCTTTTCTCTCTGCCCAAGAAGCAGGTACATTATCTCGGCCCTCACAAGCTCTCACCGTGCGTCTGGAATGTGAACCTGCAGATCCATCTTCAACCCGGCAGAGCCCAGGCTGGAGATGGGTCTTTAGTGTTGTGTCGATCCTCATGCAATTTACGTGAGCTGCATGGGGGTGTGTGGCATCTCCGGCGAGCCCTGGAGGTCAGGAGCATCTGTGTGCCAGGTGAATCTGGAAAATGAGCACACAAGGGACCTTAGTGCCCGTCGCAATCTGGAAGGCTCATGCACGACTTTGTTCTCTCTCATGGCAGAGCAAACATGGCCCAGCACCCACGAGACCCTCCTGACCACATGGAAGATCGTGGCATTCACGGCAACCAGCGTGCTGCTGGTACTGCTGCTTGTGATCCTGGCCAGGATGTTCCAGACCAAGTTCAAGGCCCACTTTCCCCCCAGGTCAGTGCCGCATTGGGCTCAGCACAGAGAAAGATGTGACAAGTGCAAAGCTGAGGTCTGAGAGGAACCAGGGAGCAGTGAATAGACTTTCCTGGGATGTTTTGGGGTGTCTGGGGTCAGAGCACCCCGCTGGAGACAGGCCTCACTTCTTTTTCCTTTCCCAGTAGACCGTTCTCAGGCAGGTGCTGTGGGGGCTGGAGAAGGTGCACAGTGTCCGGGCTGCAGGATGTGTATGCCCCACCCTGAGCCCCATTCCCACTGTCGTCCCCACCATGTGTGGCCCTGGCTTCAGGCACCATGGAGTTTGCTGTCCACAGGAAGGATAAGACAGACACACAACTGATTAGGAGACAGGCTGGGGTGGGTGACACAACAGAGGTCGGTGGATATGTGTGGTGGCAAGTCTCAGGAAGGGGAGTGTGGGTGTGGGGATTGGGAAGGGGCTAGTGAGACTCTTCGGAGTCAGAGCTGAACCTGCAGAATGGGACGTCCTGAGGGGTTCCGCATCCATCTCGGCTGCACCAGTCAGCGTGGGCTGGGGTCTCCCCCTCACAGTCATCATGGCCAAAGAGGGTTATGCCAGCACCCTGTGGAGCAAAGAAGAGCCACCCAGCACTCCTGCTGACAGGGAGCCGTCATTTAGAATGCGAAGGGGTGAGCTTGTGAGCATTCGGCGCAGGAGGGCCAGGCAGCAGCACCACACGACACTGGCCAGGGCTGCTGGTACAGCCACCCTTGCCTCGGACTCTGTGCCTACGTCACGGTCTTCTCATCTGGGGACCTGATGCTTCAGAAAAGGTCATTTGTGTTTGCCCACAGGGACAGTCTAGCCCCTGCATTCTATGTACCCCTTGGAAAAAGGCGTGTGGGGCAGCGGAGGAGGCGGCTCCAGAGTGACCTACATCTCCCTCTTCCTTGCGGGAAATCCAGCATGCCTCTCACCTGCCAGCGTGTGGGCACTGAAGAAGGGGCAGAGCTGCTGCAGACAGCGTCCGCCCACCTTCCCCGTCCCCTAGCAGCCTCGGATGGCCTCTCCTCACTAAGCAGTTCTCTCTCCCCTGCCTGGTGGTCACAACTTGACAGGCACACCCTCTGCCCAGCCACAAAAACTGTGCCGGTTGTGGGGATCCCCTGCGTCCTTCACCTGGTCTGCGGTGCCATCTGGTGCCATATCCCAGCCCTTGCTGAGGTGCTGGAACCTCCCTCTCAAACGTGCCCTCCACTCTCCCGTTCTTCAACATTATTATTTATTAATTAAGGAACCATCATTGAGCAATTATGGTATCTAAAGCAGGCCCGCGGATTACAAGGAGAAAGCTGAACTACACACTTGGGATTTATATACATTAGAGCACTTTTAAATGGCCCGCAGAGCTGTTTTTTTATATATGCTTGGAAGAAAAGTTTCCAGGATATCGACTAAATATTAAGATGCTTTTTAAACATTCTCAAAACTCTTTCACTTGATGTTCTTTAGCCCTTGAGTATTTGCGTCTTATATTTGTCCCTGGTTGTTTTGGGAAAGTTGGTCTCTTCTGTCCAAGCAGACGATAAGATTGTCAAGGGCAAGCCGTGAAGGGACACTCTCCTCCAGCCCCACAGGAGCAGGCCCTGCAGAGGCGGCCGGGCCAGGGCGTGGGTGGCGGCACAGGCGGTCACAGCGGAGGGGAGCTGCCAGGTCACGGGAGCCACGGTGCGGGAGAGAAGCAGAGCAGAGAGAGGCAGCCGGCCGCCCGGCCTAGGCGGTGAGGAGGCCAGAAGCCCCGCAGGAGACGGCACGGCAGCTGGCCACGGGGCAGGTGTGCCATTTGTCAAGTCTGCACCAACTCACAGCTGCTCGTCCCTCCCTGCCGCCCCCACCTGCTGACGAGTGTGGCCTCGGGGGTGTCCCACCCTCTCTGGGTAGCCTTTGAGCTGTGGACCGGCAGCCGGTGACATAATCTCTCAGCCTTTGCAGGATGCTTCCAGAAGTCAGTGGACTGGAGCCTGTCCCATGAGGGTGAGGAAGCATGCTGATGCTTCCCCTCCTCGATGACCTGTGTCCCCACGGCTCACCTCCTGGGGCTGGGGAGCCCCTGCTGCCGGTGCCGGGGACCCAGGCGTGCCCACCCTGGCTGTCTGCTCTTCCAGTTCCAGCTGAGGAAATAAGAAACCGAGTTCTACTGGCTGCTCATCAGCCACTCGGATCCCCTTGGGGCAGCAGCAGAGTGTGGTGGCCAAGGATCCCCGGCTTTGGTGTCAGACCCCGCCTGGCTCAGACCTGGCAGTGTTGAACGTGCAGGTGATGTGGCACCACGGCTGGGCCAGGAGCCACAGTGTGCCCCAGTGGGGGAGAACCCACGGAGACAGCGGGCACACGCCGCCCCAGCCAACACAGGCCCCGCTCAGGTGAAAGTGGTCGGCGGGTGGCGAGTGACCTGAACGAGGCAGTGAGGAGGTGCCCACCACTTGCCTTTGCTCCCCTGTGGATGTTTTTCTGTCTTGACTGAAACTGGTGGTTTGTGCACTGCGGCAGGACACAGAAAGCAGGCACGGGCAAGGCGAGCGCTCCAGTTCCCTACACTTTTAACAGCACTGTCCTGCGGGCTGCTGCAGGGGCACGTCAGGGTGCTGTGTTGCAGTGGGCCAGGCGGTGTCCCACCCAGTGAGTTTATGGCCATAGGCCAAGCCTGGAGGGCAAAGGAGTGAGGAAGGAAACACAGGAGAGAGCAGAGCCCCAGGCAACGGGAAAGAGGGGGCAGAGAGAGGGAGAAGAGGGATCCTCCCCTCTCCAGAGTGTGGCTGTGGGCCGGAGCGGGCCGGAAAGGAGGCTGGGTCTCCTGCACCACCACCCATGCCGGGCTCTCCTGCCATTGTGGCCCAAGGGTCTTGCAGTGGCCCAAGGTGGGGGACTGGTGGCCTCCTCCCTGGGTGGCATAGTGCTCTGACATGTGGACACCGCTTTCCTTTGCACAGGGGGCCTCCCAGGAGTTCGAACAGTGACCCCAACTTCGTGGTGGTGGACGGCGTGCCCGTCATGCTCCCATCCTACGATGAGGCTGTGAGTGGCGGCTTGAGTGCCTTAGGCCCTGGGTACCTGGCCTCCGTGGGCCAGGGCTGCCCCTTACCTGTGGATGACCAGAGCCCGCCAGCATACCCCGGCTCAGGGGACATGGACACGGGTCCAGGGGAGTCAGAAACCTGTGACAGCATCTCAGGCTCTTCCGAGCTGCTCCAGAGTCTATATTCACCCCCCGTGTGCCAAGAGGGCACCCACCCTGCTTCTGACAACCCTGACACAATTGCTAGCACGGTGGGGGAGGTGGCATCCACCAGCCCAGGCATCGACATTGCAGATGGTAAGTGTTTCCCTGAGCCCCAAGCCACCCCCGCAAACACCTCTGCAAACCAACCCCTCCCTGGCTGTGTAGAGCCCCCACCCCCCAGGGCCGAATCAATCCACTTGCCACTCACTCAGCTTCAGTTGCTTCTTACTGTCTCCAATGCAGAGGCTGTGAGCAAGCCAATTATTGTACAGAATGATTTTTGTCTCACAAGGAATGAGGCTGTTAATAGAAATTTCAGGAGGCACGAAAAGACACCGAGCTATCCAAAGGAGAAAGGCTACGGTGGACAGTACTTTGTTTTTATAGCATTGTATGATCCAGCATGTTTTTCTTCTCTATCTTTTAATTAGGCAGGACCTCTGAAAGTAGAGCTTAGGAACAGGATAACACACTCATGTGAGGAGGAAGGACCGGGTGCGTGCGCTAGACCCAGCAGTGTGCCCGGGCACCCAGCCTGGAGCAGTTCTGTGTACACAGACATTACTTTTCCCAGATTGAAGGAAAAGATGCACATGCGTCTGCCTGTCACAAGGAAGGGCGAGTGTAGCTCATGGTAAAGTGGAGAAAACATATCAGGCTAATTAGGGCTTAGTTTCCTTGGGGGTTAGGGGGGACAAGCACAACTTTACAAATAAGAGCACTGATTCCAGCTTACATCCACAGGAGATGGCAGTAACAACACAGAAACAGAGGTCTGCTGGGTCCTTTTCTGCAAGCCATGGGGCCTCTCTGTGTACTTGAATCTGTAACCTTTTGGCTTGTATGACCTTTAGGGTCCACGTTTAAAATCTAACATTTTATTTTTTATGAACGGGAAATAAGCTCACAAATATTTTTCAGCAAATAGGTGTTGTTTATTTGATTGTTAACTGATATGTAGAACTTAACATTTTCCCACTGATTTTGGAAATTGTAGATATTTTAATAAGGTTTATAATTCGATTGTCACAGTGTTTTTTGGTTATAATAAGCTAATTACCATCTCTTCTTTTACAGAGATCCCTCTAATGGAAGAAGATCCCTAACTGTGCAAAATCCCAATGACTCTGCTGCTCCTTTGGGGAAAAGAACCTTGTACTTTGGAGTGAGGCCACGGAAGGGCAGTATGTGGGGCGTGGGGACCTTTTCTAACTTATGTACGTGGGGATAGGGTTTACATCACCCATCTCAGACTCTACAGTAAGGCTGACAAGCTGCAGTGGCATGGTTTCAAATGAAGCTTGAGAACCTGCTAAGGCCATGGGGAGCAAGGGCAGAGGGGACCCCACGCGGTCCTGGGTGGAGGGGGTAAGTGTGTCTCGTGCTGCAGGACATGGGTCAGTTGCACGCATGAGAGCAAGGGCAGAGGGGCCCCCCTGTGGTCCTGGGTGGAGGGGGTAAGTGTGTCTCGTGCTGCAGGACATGGGTCAGTTGCACGCATGTCTCACGCACTCACACATGCCGTTGACTTGTGCTATGAGTACTCCCTGCGCCTCTGAAAGCATGTCACATTGTGTAAATTCGCTTCTAAAATCTGCTTCAAACTGTCTCTGGACTCCAAATTCAAAGGCCTCTTCTAGCCTCTGTGGAAAGTGAGTGTTGAGAGGCTGGCCGAGCAGCAGAGCCCCCGTGCACTTACGAGGGGTAGCCCCCAAAGGAAGGGTTCTCAGTACCATTTCGACAGTCCTCCATCTGGACAACGCTGCTCAAAGCAAGACTAAAGCAGGATGTGGCCGTTCCCATGAGGAAGGAAAGGAGACAGACTCTGCTTTCTGGAAACTTCTTCAAAAAGTAGAGCTCATGTACCCTGTGCTATCCTTTGGTGACGTATCGCCAATATTTGTATTCATGGAATGCACATGGATGCACGCATTGGATAAACCTGTGACTCTATGAATGGCCAGAATATGTTCAAATATATGTCACAGTGAAGGAAATAGCCAAGGTAGTGTTTGTTTCAGCATCTCAAGAAGACTCTGCTCAACAGTTTGTCTGAGTCACGAGCCCTTCCATTGACCGTTACCACTGTCCTCCCAAACTCAACCGTATTCTACTTTCCAAAACAGAAATTGTTTCCATAAATATATTCCACTCCAAATACAGTAGGAGGCGGGATTCATTTGCTTCTTCGTTTTGTCCCGCGCCGTGGGGAGGCTGGCCTCCCAGCCCAAAGGCAGCCGTCCCCTCCCACCTGCCATCCCTGCACTTCCACTGTGAGGGTTTCGTGGTGCCCACTGCAGGGGGTGGGGGGTTCTAAGAAATTGATTGATAGATAATGTCCTGAGTCCTGAAGTGTCTCTTCAAATACATGTTGATCTGTGGAGTTGATTCCTTTCCTCCTCTGGGTTTTAGACAAACATAGACAAACCTGTGATCCACAAAATTGCTATGCTGATGGAGCAGTGAGGGCTGGAAGCTTGATCAAGTCCTGTTTTTTCTTGACACAGACTGATTAAAAATTAAAAAGAAAATGATGGTGTGAAGCATGACTTTAACAGAGGAGTGGAGTCGGGTGGGCAGGGGAGGGTTGGTGACAGCGATCACAGGAGATGGAATAAAATGTAGGATTAAGAATGTGAGTCAACATGTGGAAAGTACCTGCCTCGCCCGGTGCCTCAGGGCGTGGTGCCTGCCCACAGCAGGGACAGTGGCACTGGGCATGTGGGCAATGGTGCTTGGTAATTGTAGCTTCCTTTAGCAACAGCCTCCTGCCACTGGCACAGTTTTGTACCACGAGCCCCACTCAAGGGAGTTGGTTTTCACAGGTGGGTGTGGTTAGGTGTCACCTGGCCTGCTCAGAGACAGCACAGGCTGGGGGGGAGCCAGGGTCAGGTGGGCACCTCCACCAGGCAGCCAGGTCTCAGCTCTCCTCCACCCCAACACAGTGACTTCGAGTAGACACCTCATTTCCCACTGTGCAGGTTGAAGAGGCGTGCGGGGCTATCTCTGAGCCTCGCCTCTCCTCCTGCAAAGTGGACAGCAGCCACGTGCAGAGCCTCAGCTGCAGCCCCGGCTCCTGGGAGACAGACCCCACGGGAACCACATACATCAAGTATTTATGTCAACGTTGTCCTAACACCTGTTCAATTGCAGCATCAGACAAGGTCTCACCAAATCGCCGGGACCCTCCCCTCCATCCCTCTACTTTGTGGCCACATCAGAGTCTCATCAACAAATGCTGTTTACAATGTGTTTTTTTCTCAATACAATGAGCTTATGTGGCAGAAAAGAATCCTCATGATATTCCAAGTATGTCACGATCCTGACTTTCTTTTCTTTTAAAAACCCCAGGAAGCCCTTGTGTGTCACTGAAGGGAATCACTGCTCTCACGCCGCCTCAGGGGTGAGGAGCTGGAGAGCAGACCAGCCTGCACTGTGAGTTGGCACCCTGGTGGTGTTGTGTGAGGACCCGCCCGACACAGGTGCCCCTGCTCGGGAGAAGGACGCCCCTCAGAGCACGCCCAGCAGCGAGCAGCTCAGAGGCCACAGGTGTTCCATCGACGCTGCCCGAGGGGCTCACCTGGGTGTCTGCTCCCGGGAACTGCAGAGAGCAGCTTTCCAGCTGACTTGCTCCCCATCCCGAACACAGCAGAAGTCGCAGGTGCCGACACACTTCACTTCCATGTAGCTTCTTGTAATCGCAAAGTTGTGACTTGCTGGTGTGGAATCTTTAGAGCCCTTCCCACCTGATTACACCCGGCCCAGCAGCTGTCACAGGGACAGGGATGCCTCCTGTTCCTGCAGAAAGGTTTGTCTCTGGCCCCACAGCAGGCGCAATGCTGTCCCGTGTTGGTCCATCTGCTCCCCCCAATCTTGGGCCCCCACTGCAGCCTGGCAGGCAAGCCCTTCCTGTTATGGTGCCAGCCTCTAGGTGTCCCCAGCAGGGCAGCGGGATATCATAGAGATTGTGGGCTTTGGAGCGGGCACAGCACCCATCTTCATAACCTGCCTCTGCTGCTAACTGGCTGTGTACTTGGAAGAGGTACTGAGCTCCCAGGCCTCAGTTTCTTCACATAGAGACTAGAACTGGTTGGCCTCTGCTGTCCTCACTGGGCTTGGTGAGGATGACAGCTAGAGTCAGTCGAGCACCCATGCACAGTGGGCACCTTGTGAGGGTGAGAGAGTGCCCATGTGGGTGCGTAGCTCTGGCACGTGTGCCCAGGCACTCTGACCTACCGTGGTCCCTTCGCCCTTGAAGGTGTTTGCAGGTGATGCTTGTTTGGGGCTTCGCAAAGTGGATGGACTGAAATGTGCTATGCCCGTTCCCCTCAGACCCCATTCCCAGGAGCCTGTCCCTAGCTTCTGTATGCCAAGCTTTCTCTGCAAAGGGAAATTTTCGATCCTTGGCCCATCGGGCATTTGCCCTCCCTCCTAGCACAGCCCTTCTCTGAATGCCACCGAAAGTTCTGCTCAGGGAGGGCAAGACAGCATCAGAAATTCCCTCAAGACTCTGAAGGACTCAGATGCTCTCCACAGGCAAGCCTATAGATCAACACAAGCCTGCTTCCCTAATTTTATTGTCTACTTTGGATTTAAAGTGTAAAAGTCAATACCCATACATTTCCAAGTGATAAACGGAAAGTCCACAGTAAAGACAGCTGGTCTAGTAGGCACAGCAGGGCCCCAGAGAGCAGCAGCGTGTCAGGGTGGGTGAGTGCTGGAACCACGAAGCTTCACGCCGCATGTGTGCATCACCATGGCCGGTTGCAGCTGCTGTGGCAGGCAGTGTGTCATCTCCACACTGGGCTAGCACCAGTCCCTGGTGCCTACAATGCATTGTTTTAAGTGACCAAAGGAGTTGCCCAGCTACCTCAGTAGGAGCCACAACCCGGCCACGCTTCGAGCCTCATCAGAGTGATCAGAGCTGCCGCAGCATGCCCATGGAGCCGCTGGTCCTCCAAAGCCAAGAAAGAAGAAACTTGAACACCAGCAGATGCATAAAGAGTTGGGGGCAACGGGGCTGCTGAGATGGAGCCAGAGGGAATCGAAGCTGATATTTTCTGCTTGGAGCCTACAAGAAATACTTAGAGACAGTGTTTCGGTCAATAATTATTTACAAAGCACCTGCTCTGTGCTAGGCTCTGTCTGTGCCCTTGAGCCATTGGTAAGTGGGCAGCTACAACTCGATGCTGCAGGACACCAGACCGAGGCCTGGGCTCTGGGGACAGTGCCACAGGAAGTGGCAGCCACACTGGTAGCAGGCAGACTGGGAGCTGAGCCGGGGCTGGGGAGCAGGCGCCTGGTCCTGGAGGTCAAATGGAGCTGGGGGTTGGGAAACGTGGAGCTGTTGGGTGCTCTGAGGGCCTTGAGGTGGGAGGTGGGGAGAAGGCCGAGGGGAAAGGGGGCTGGAGAGGTGACGAAGGGCCAGGCCGTGCAGGCCTGGGGTGCTTTGCAGGCCTGGGGTGCCGTGCAGGCCTGGGGTGCCGTGCAGGCCTGGGGTGCCGTGTGAGGGAGGTAAGTGGTTCCCCTGGGGGAGCGGGAAGCGTTGAAGGGTCTGGAGCAGACGAGCTGCTCCGGTGAGATGGGAGGAAGCGAGCAGGCTTGAGAGCTGTTCCACGGGCCTACAAGTCGGGGACAGCCGAGCCCCGCAAAGGACGCACTGGCTCTCGGGCAACCCCCAGGCCTCGGTTTCCTCACCTGTGTAGTGAGAAAGTGGGACAGATGGTGTCAAAGATCCAAAGATCTCTTCCAGCCCCAACAGTGTGGAAGTTCTCTCTCCTGCGTGTCCTTGTCCTCCATCGCCAGCTCCCCTCAATCTGTCCTGGCAGCGGCCCTGCTCCCAGCCCCTTCTCCCCTCCGCTGGGCACCTGCAGCTCTAGAAACTGCAGCCATTCTGGCTTCCTGTGGCCGTGCTCTGGCCCTTGGTCAGAAGGAGCAGACGCCTCCTGGAGTCCACTGTAGTCTAATGACTTGAAACAACTAAAAGCCAGACAAACCTATCAGATGGACTTAGCCTGCGAATGCTGTGTAACTCTGTAGCATTTCCTGTTCCGCAAGGCACGTTCGCCTGCTGCACACTTGCGGGTGTGGGGAGGGCAGGACGTGGACAGGTTACGGGTGGAAGGTGACGCATCTGCTCCCACATCTCTCCCAGGGGTGGGGAGGCTGCCCTTCCCGCCACGGTGCTCCCATCGCTGGGCTGCAAGCCAGTGCGCCAGCGGGATTTTCTGCTTATGCTGCAGGTGTGGCCGCAGAGATCTCTGCACTTTTTTTAATAGACTTTATTTATTTATTTTTTTTTTTGTCTTTTTGTCTTTTTTCCGTGTCCGGCAACGGATCGCTCGCTGGGCTG